CCTCCTCCTCCTTTTTCTCCTTCTTCTTTTTAAATTTTGAGTCTCCCTCTGTCACCCAGGCTGGAGTGCAGTGGTCTGATCTTAGCTCACTGCAACCTCCATGTCCTGGGTTCAAGCCATCCTCCTGCTCAGCCTCCTGAGTAGCTAGTATTTCTTCACAGCAATGCAAGAATGGACTTACACACCATGTAATCTGTTAATCTACTGCCAAACCCCTTACTTGGAGAAAATGTGGGATAATAAATGCCTTGTTGTTTGAGTTGCTAAATTTTGGGATAATTTACTGTGTAGCACAAGACAACATATACACAGTCCTCAATATGGGTCCCTGCCCCACACATGCCATGTGATCACAGGCAACTCGCTTCATTTTGTAAAATCACCATTTCTTCATTTATCAGATAAGCCTAACACTGTGTGTGAAGTGTTTGACACTGTATCTGGTAAACAGAAAACACTTGCAAAACATCAGCAACTGTTCATCAAACTTCCAAACTCAAATTCTCAAAGAGCTATTCAAACAAACCTGAACTCGCAGAGCTGCAGCAAGGAGACTCACATCATCTTCCTCAATGAGGCCACCAAAATGTCCTCTCTGAGAGCCACCCCCAAACTTCCCTGTAAAAAATTGGAGGGAAAACAAGACTTTCAGCATACTGTCATTTCTAACGAATTGCTCCTTGTAAACAGGCAGAATAATGGTCTTATTTTTCACCGAGGAAGTTAGGATGTCAGGGCACAGTTGCAGGCTGCTCACCGCTGGCACAGCCCTGGGGCCCTTCACTGGGCCTGCTTCACATTTTACATTAGAGAAACAGCCATCTGCCAGGTGTAGTGGCTCACGCCTGTAATCCCAACACTTTGGAAGGCTGAGACAGGTGAATCACCTGAGGTCAGGAGTTCAAGACTAGCCTGGTCAACATGGTAAAACCCCATCTCTACCAAAAATACAAAAATTAGCTGGGCATGGTGGTGCGCCCCTGTAGTCCCAGCTACTCAGGAGGCTGAGGCAGAAGAATCACTTGAACCTGGGAGG